AATTAGGCACATTTCAGGTAACCATTTTATGTCTGATGCATAGTTTTATCTGTCGGCTCAATGAAAGCAAGAATATTGTTATCATAAACCTTAAAAATGTCAACTTCAGTGCCACGTGGTACCGGTCAGATCTGTGGAGACACTGGTACAGCTGTTTGCTCTGAGGAGTGGGGCTTATTGCTGTGATTATGTGTTGTTTTGTGTTTTTATGTGTTGTGTTTGTCTTTTCTTGGACAGTATGTAATAAAAGTTAGATGACTCAGTTAGTCCGTCAGTTTTATCTCAAATATCCATCGATTCAACATGGAAACCACTTAGAAAAAAGTCCATCCTTTGTTAAAATGATGTATTGCTTTACTGTTTTCTTCTGTAACTTGTGCTCCACGCCATGTATACGTTCATGAGCAATAAAGAAAGAAAGAATGAAAGAAATGATCAGGACAAAAATGCATGAATTTAGCTTCTATAATTTGTCAAGCTCTAAATCTAAAAACGCAGCTTAATCCTTCTGTATATTCTCCTGTGTGATTACTGGGCGTTTCATATTATGTCTACCACCACAGCGCTCTCCATAGACGTGTCACTGTGAGCTGCTCTCATTTCCCCAAAGGAAGTTCAGGGCCCTTTCTCTCTCCTGGCTCTCCATCAGCCTGTTTCCTTTTACCCACAATCCTTTGCCATGACCCTTGCAGTGGAGAAAAGACCCTCTGAGCTCCGGGCCACACCGGTCTGAGGAAAACCCATGCATTTGCTACGAGGGATCAGGCCTGGCTCCGTACAGTGGGTGTCTTGTTAGGAGTCGATGCTTTTTATATCATCCATGCCAGAGAGACGTCCAGTCAGGGAATCCACACCAGGAGCACTACATGGAGCCTGTTCTCTTCTGGTTTGCCAGCTGACCGCCCATAACCGCATATACACACGCTGGCGGAGTAACATTCAATATATGACTACTGTAATGTTGAATGTTTCAGTGTGGATTACTTTTCCAAATGAACAGGTTGTGTTGCATATGTACACGCGTATGTATACTGCTTTCCAATGCAGTTTCACAAAAGTCACACATTCTCTCACCCTAAATGTAGTCATTATATAAAAACAACAAAACATAGGACTCTGACAATGATTTTATCTATATTTTTTAATTACAAAACAATAATAAAAAATACATATACCTATACTGTACAATAAAAAATAAATGAAATAACTATATCTACAATTGATTAAAAGAAGTTAATTCATGTATAGTGGAAATGTTCATAAAATCTCACATATATTCTCAAAACAGCTTTTCAAATAATTTGTATTAATCCCTCTATTTTCTTACGTTTTATCCATTGTCTGATCGCAGGAGCAGAAGTCTGAGCAGAGACGCCCTTCCACGCACACGTCCTCCAGCTCATCCAGTGGATTCCGGAGTGTTCCCAAGCAGAGAAATGTAATCCTCCCAACATGTCCTGGGTCTTCCCAAGGCAGGCATCCAGGAGGCATCTGAAAGCTGCAGTGGCTCTACTCCGAGCTTCTCCAGAGTTCCTTGCCTTATCTCAAATTTCTCCACTGTGAGACTAATAAAGGTTTATCTTATCTTATCTTATCTTATCTTATCTCTGAGCGCCCAGCCGCTCTGTGGAGGAAACTCATTTAAACCTGTGATCTTGTCCTTTCGGTCATCATCCACTCAGCTCATGACCATAGGTGAGGGTGGGGTTGACTATAAATCTAGAGCTTTTCCCCAACTAATCCTTCTCACTGTGAATGAGACCCATATATACTGTATTTGAACGCTTTCACCTGGTCGATCAAAGAAAGATCTATAATGAATCGATTGTAGGTTGGAACTCCAAAATGTTGACTGCCTAAATGACTAAATATACAGTATGTAAAATAATGACATCGGTCTGTGTAATTGCACCACTTCTCCAAAGAACTAATGATTTAATATTTATTTTTTAGTTAAATACAGTCTGATTGTATTATCAAGACTGCATCTACATAATTTTACCATCTGGTTTCCTTCTTTAAACACTGTTTTATAAATAGGATGAAGGGTGGAGTCATTTTTTGAATTACACGCACTTCAACCTCGTGTGCCAAAATACAGTCTGAAGTAAGTAACTGTACCTGACTGGGCCAATCCAATTCCAGTCATGACATTTATATTTCATATTTTATAAACATTTTCTAAAGCGCTGCACTGAGAAAAAGTAATAATACAAATAGCATGACATAAATAGAATAAAAAAATATATGTATGTAGTTATGGCTACAATAGCGTGTTACCATGATACCTCTTCTCTGAGTGTATATACTGTATGTGTGATGTATGTAACCAGTGCAGGGCTTCCTGATCACCAGCCCAACAGAGCGGCAGTGTGCGCTCTATGGCAGCTCTCCATTAGGAATAAGCTCAGGTCTACGGCTGTTTCCAGGCCTCTCACACCAGCCTTAGATCAGCTGCGCCGTCACTGCCCATAAAACATTCGGAAAGCACTAAAACATATTCTGCCAGGGCTGAAACATACCAATTCAGGCAAAATACCAACCATTTGTGATATGGGTTTGTAGTGGTTCAGTTGATTATACTGTTGATGGTTTCTTAGGGCGCCCCAAAAATGAATTAGTCGATTGGTTGTTTGTTCTAAATGACAAGGATTTAAATGGGGGGAAGCAAAAATCAGAATGCATGGAGTAAATTAGTTTGGTATTTACTTCATCCTTGAATCATCTCTCCATTCACTATACTTTATTAACAGCAATTTGTAATGCTATTCCAAAAGTTGTGTGAGTACAATTTGGGTCAGAAAAACCACCAGCTTGTTTTGAGAGCTGACCGACTGGGAATGTATTTAGCCAGCCCTACATGCAATTTACAAAAGAGAATTTGGATCAGAGCTGGCTGTTCATATTTGTCAAGCATTGCGTCTTGTTCTTTTACAAATGGAGCTTGTTGTTTGACTTGAGAAAAGACGGAGCCAGACTGGGTTTTTTTTTTCCAGTTACATGCAAATTTCACGCACCACTAAAGCAGAGCAGAGCCATCATGGTGTTGGGAGAGACACAGCACCAATCGCAGAATGTGGCAGTAATCCCAGTCAGTTTGGTTAATAAGTATAGTCTGCAGAAATGGTGTGTGCAGTCCTCTTTCACCTTAGTCTAGTAAAGTAAAAGTAAAACATAGACTATGGTTATTGCTTTGATGTTTTAGAATGAAGGGATGGCTGTTGCTGTGACCCCTGAATGAATGAAAGCAGTTATAAAGGATTAAACTAGATCTATACAGTCTAAACTTCAACATTGTTAGTCATAGTAATGCACAGGACAAGCAGTGGGAGTCACAATGAGCTTTTTTATTTCAAAGCACATTAGATCTAAGTACATTTAGCAGAAACACACAGAACTATTTGCTATTTCTTTTGTACAAAAACAAGACAATACAAAAATACTAATATTGAATTGTAATACATTTGTCGGTGTATTTATTTTTGTTGTACATTAAAAACAAATACAAACTGCAATAGTGTATTTTTCTAGATACAAAAATCGGTCAATCGATGCTTCTTAAGCAGCATTTTGTAAAGAACACAGGTCTGTAATAGTGGATATATCTAAACATGTTAAAAACAATATCTTACAGAGTTAAGCTTAGTGATCTATACATTATTTATATATTTATAAAAAGTGATGATGAAATGGTAGGACGGACTATACAAGAAGAAGATGTGCAACATGGCGGATGGTTTTGGATTTGGAGTTTTTCTGATGTAAACAAACAGAGTTTATGTGTGTGGTACTGTACAAATGTTAGTGATTAAACAGGACGTCCCAAAAGACAAGAAACAAAAGATCCACAGTATTTAGACCAACGACACACACACACATACACACACACACTCACACATACATACATCATAACTCGAGGGACAGAGTGCATGAGAGGTTTCATTTGACACTTGGGGTTCACACATGTACACACAAACACACACACATATGCGTCCTTTGCCAATGAGTGATTGGGCGGGTGAGTGAGGGCCCCTCCCTGCCAGCGGAAAGAACCCACTTCATCCCAAAGTAAAATGTGCCAGCTTAAGAGCATCAGCCTCTTTCCATGGCGACAGATCCAAGCACGTCGCAGAAACCACACGTCCCTGTCCCATTTGGGGATAGAAACACAGGGGTCCCACGCTAGGAGGGACAAGGCACAGCCTCACCCCTCCTTTACAAGCGCTGAGGAAGAGCTTAATGATCTGACTGCCTCCTAACAGACTATACCCCCTTAAAAAACCTTCAAGAAATGCAACATCCCGAGTTTAGGCCGCACTGATGGTCCGCTACAACAGCACAAAGTGCTTGTGTTGACACACTGAAATTTGAGCTTTTGCTTTTACAAGTAATAATATAAACCATGTATTTTGCATTGATTGGCACCAATAGGCATCATCAAGTACTGTTGCAGTGAGACCTCTCAGGCAGCAAGTGGTGATGGACAATGAACTAAAAAAACAAACAGTGCTATAAGTTACAATTTATATACTGTTGATATTTCTATGCTGTGTAATATTGCAGTAATATCCTTCCCATTGGTTGAGGAAGTTGTTGTCCTATGGTGTTTGAAGGCCACAGAGTTCATAGAGAAAGAGAGCATCTTTCTCTTCTTGGGCGGCGGGTTTACGGGTTTAACACTTCATAATTGATAGTCTTGTCTTCAAGTGATTTGCCTTCATGTGGTCAAAACTTCTACCAAACTTCCGCGCCCGTATCTCTGCCTGTCAGGTCAACAATCCAATAATTTTCATCAACATTTTGTGCTCAAAAACAAAGGGCTCAAATGTAGATTAGTAGTTAACATAATGGTTATATAAGGAGTCTTGATAGTGAGAGTGGACTCTGCTCTGCAAGTCTCAAATGTGACCCCGAAGGCCCTTTGAGAAGCAACTTGAAGTCTCTCATGGCTACATTCTACTGTCCGATGTGAGGTGAGCAGCTCCGGCTCCTGAGGAAGCTCACACCATGTTGTGGTGGTTGTTTCTGTCGATGATGTCGGACGATGGCAGGAGTTCCTTCTTGATGGGCGATGGGGGGGGAGTGTCCGGCTTCACCCGCAGCTTGAACAGGTCGGAAACGTAGAAGACCTGGAAGATACAAGGAAGAGGAATATGAACGTGGTGCAAATGCATGGTCTCTGTAAAAGCTGACTCAAAGGCAAAAATAAAATCTTTTCAAATTTGATGATTGTAAGTACACAAACACAAGTGGCACTACTTTTAAAGCTGATGTAGATAATAAACGTTTACAAAGATTTTTAGGTAAACCACAAGCCCAAATCCTGAAAAGAAAGTTCTTAGATCAGACGTAAAGAAATGTAATGCCCACAATGATGCCGGTTTCAGTTATTTTTGGACTGAGACAGCACAAACGTGCCCAGTGTAAAGTCCCTTTACCTGCACTCACCGTGTTACCTCATTCTGCCAAAGAAAGGAAAAATTCCCTCAGACAACATTTGTACAATGACAATCCCTAATCTCACATTTGTTTCATTGAGTATGCAGTGACTTTGTGTGGCTCACCCTAAAGCAACAAAGACTTCCTCTCAGCTGAACCCAGTCCACTATGCTCGAATGTGTCTGCGGTTTCCCTTTTGTTATCAGCCCAGACTGTAAGATCAGTCCTGGGACATTATGAATGTGACGAAGAGCATCAGAAAAGGTTGACATCATAAGTCAAACAGGAAATGGGCAGTGGTGGACAGGAAGAAGGACTATGGACTCTATGGTTCACTTCATCAGCCTTTCCATGTAGAGGTCGACTGTGGTCACAAGATTCACCAGAAATTACATTTAACAATTAATCATGATTACGAACTCAAACAAAACGTTATTTGGAAATACAATGGCGATCCAAAGATAGTATATAATAAGCTCCATTCATGAACACAACACAATAGGTTTCTCTATGGGAGCGTGACATTCTCAGACTGTAATCTGACTTCTTACAGATGACTTTTGAACCATGATGTCATTGCAAGTTGACGGCTCTTTCCACAGTTTTAAATAGTCTCTTTGTCCATATCACATATCTACTGTAACATATTGAGCGAGATCACTCATTTGTGGATAATGACAAACTATTTCTGCTACAAAACCCTCACCCTTGAACTTGACACCATCTTCTTATAATGCAAAACCCTATTCTTAAATCATTTTACACAGAGCTTTATTGTTGTGTATTATGACCAATTTTATAGCCCATAACATGTGTCGAATAATGTTTCCATAAAAGCTATTAAACATCAGTAGTGACACATAAAGGTTCTTAGTCACAGAGGAACCACACAGGAAGTTTGAAGATCCAAAAGCAGCTCTGTGTCTCATGTGATGGCGAAAAGACATGTTTGCAACCACCTGAAATAATATCAACAGTTAAATGGATTATGGAAATGGTTATTTGTAAAAGCCCATAGCAGTATCAGTTATATTGTTTACTGTATTTTGCATAGAGCATCAATAACACTTGTTCCTTGGCAACATTTCCAAAGCTCTTGATTCTGCCCATACTCTCTTTTGCGACGGAGGATAAAGATGGACCAAACCAAGCCCGGTACTGCTCGGTAGAAAGCCAAACATACAATGGTTAAGAATTTTTACCGCAGTCTTAGACAAAGCATCACTGTTAGCGACATGTGCATCCTGCCCTTGACAAAAATAAACATAAGGAAATGATAGCACCTCCTCCTGCTCTTCGGACTTCAAAATGCCTGATCCAACTCTGTCTTCACTAACAAAGAACTTTATTACAAACAAACTCATGTCACCGCTTTCTCCCCAAAACAGCTGCTTCCTGCCCTCGGTTTATTTGACCTCCATTGCTTCATTCCTCCAGGATGAGAAGTAGGTCAACGCATCTAATACGACTAATCATGTGTAGGACAGACAGCTTCCTGTTTTGGTTCCTGCTCTTTCTTTGGAGTCTAGACTTTGGAGAGCATATTGTTAATTACGATAATAATTTAAGATTAATGTGTAGTTGAGTTGACTCAACAGATGTTCTCCAAACTTAACCGCTGTCAAAAAGCTGTGAAAGATAAACTAGAAATGACAGCATAATCTAAGACCATTAATGAAAGATTTGAATGGAAATCCCCCAGACTCTGATGCTGGTTGAAGTGATGAGGAGAAAAGTCCCACTGTTGAGGTGTTGATGGGGAGGAGGAGGGTTGCAGCACAAGCTGAAGCGGGCTGGAGTGAAGGCGGGTGATATAGTCTCGGAAGGAGAACGAGCAATACTGGTCTACATTAGTAAGTAAGTAAGTAATATTTATCTATATAGCACATTTTACAGACCAAGCTCACCCAAGGCGCTTCACAATGTTCAGAGTTCAGATATTGTTCCAATCATTCCACACACGGTGATGATGGAAGTGACATTAGCATTATGATGTTTCAAATAGTAGGCTACGAAGTGTTTTATTTTGACTTTTTTATTTTATTTGAGGAACTGTTGCTTTTTCTGAAGCATAAAATCTATAAGAACTGTTCCACTACATCTGCAGTATGAATACTGTAATTGTCCTGTGTCACATGCATGTCACTTAAACAACAACAGAACAATTAAAAAAGTAAATATTAATGAAGTGTTTTCTTATATTTAATGTAGGCTTGCTCATATCATAATGTCAAGAAGAGCAGTTTTATTTCAAGTAGTTCACAATTCGACCCATTATTACTGTATTTATGGTTAAAAATGAGCTTTGTTGTGTTCCACTGTTCTTATGCTCAAAAGCCCACCCTTTCTTCAGCTGCCTCTTCTGCTGTCAGCTCTTTTTTATGGCGCTGCTTATTGAGCTAAAGCTAAAGTGGTCACAGATGTGTTTCTGCCAAATCAGAAAAGGGGGCGTCGGGGATTGTAAAAACGTGCTATGCCGCCTTGATCTGCATCAGTTTGTACCACGCGTGTCTGTATTAATGTGTGTGTGTGTGTGTGTGTGTGTGTGTGTAAGAGAGAGAGAGAGAGAAAGTGTGTGACTGCAAATACTGTGTCTTTATGCGTATTAAGTTGTCTCTCAGAGCAGGAGGCCTACGTGGGATATGACTTGGAGCAGACCCATGATCGTTCAGGGCCAAGCTGCAGACAAGGCTCTTCTCTCCTGTCACTTCCCTGCCTCATTCGCAGCAGATGTGCACGCAAAGCCGGAGCAAATAGTTGAAAACATGCGTTACCCGTCAAAGCTCATGTCTAACAGGAGCTACACCCAGCTGAACAGCCCATACCAGGACAACACAATAACAGAAAGAAATATGACAATGTTCAGAGGCCCATAATGCTAAATTAAAACTGTAAGGCCTATTGTTGCTAGTAAATGCAGCTCGTAAAGATGGAAGTATGTTTTGACCCCTAGACCAGGGTTGGGACCGATTTAATATTATTGTTAAGTTATTGATCGTCTACTAAAGGCCACATAAGGATATTGTATGGGCTTGTAGGCAAAACCGCACAAGGCATTCAAATAATTAAAATAATCACGGTACCTCAAAAAGAGTAAAGCTAAAATCCCTCAGTTGTATGCACAGCTAAACAGAACTGTTTTTAACCTGGATTCGAACACTGTCAGACAAGAAGCCTGTCTCACATCTTCAGGAAGACTGTTCCAGGAAGACTTTAAAGGCTGCAGATTCAGATTCCACAGATGAAGATTCCACACCTCTTTAAACGGTCATATAATTACTTTATTATTTACACACAATTCACTCCAAAGTATACCCTCTGCATGGCACACACCAGGAAATGCTAGTTGGATTATGTCATCCCGAAATAAAAAAGCAAAGCGTGGGACTGATGAGATGTGCGATACTGTGCGTGTGCCAAAGACAAAATATGAAATCTATTTAGTTTGACATTTGACAGACCAACTTTATAGTCTTCTGCGACCCTTCGGAGAGCCTTTTCAATCCCCCAATAATTCTTACATTTCGAAGTCGACATTGCGTGGATGCATGTAGAAGTTCCAAAGCCGCTGTTGGCGCCACCACTACGCCCCTAAACATTTTTATGAATCTAATCCACTCCACTGGTTCTTGTTTTGGATCATAGGTCACTTATGAGAACGCTTGTATTCTTACTGCCTGCTGTGCCGTTAGAACAGAGCCACCGAATAGAAAAACATAATTAACAACCTCATTCCTGGTTTCAAAGCCAAAAACACTCTCTGTCTCCTCCTCCCTCTGCAATTTTTCCTCTAGACCGAATTCAATTTTCCTTGGCTCCACATATCCCACTGTAACGATGAGGCTTACGAAAATCATCTGGCAACAGCTCTTACGATATGTTACCAAAGTAGTCCTAAGTGGAATACGGATTTACACACACAAAACCAACCAAATCAAAAAGACTTTAGCCTTGGCTCCGGGAAATGTGTTCCTCATTATAGGGAATAGGATTCTCCTCACTTTAATGCCTGCAGTAAATGTGAAAAAGTTACATGGAAGATCTCCAGTGGTTACGCACAACAGGTTTGGGTTTCAGTTTCTGTCCATTTGTCTTTTATTACACATGCTGTGCGTATAAATGGGTCAGGGGCGATGTTTATGCAGAGACTATATGGCAGGTTGGCATGGGAGTCATTTCTTTTGACAGGATTCAGAATAATGACAAATGGGGACAGTTGCAATAATAACATCAAAACATAATTTTCTCTTTTGAACAACGATCCGAAAATTTTGTATTTTGGGAAATAAGAGGCTTCAAACCATGAATTAGGAACCAATTTCTAACAAATATTGACAAAGCCAGTGTAGCATCAAATAAATAGCCAAAAGCAAAATGCACGAACAAACATTTTGACGCGGACTTATATTCATGCCTGGAAAGATAATGGAGACAATAGAAGCATTATGTAAGAACTCCTACAATAAACAAGACAGTACCTCTTCACATGCATATTGACATTTTTGATAATTTTTGGGTAGAATCTGGAACACTCTTCCTGAAAATGTGAGACAGGCCTCTTCTCTGACAATATTGAAACCCAGGTTAAAAACAGTTCTGTCTAGCTGTGCATACAACTAAAGGATTTTATATCTTTTTTTATCTTTATTTTTAATGTACTGTGATTATTTATGTATTTATTGTTTTGTTCAGAACTTTGAGTTGCCTTGTGTATGAATGGTGCTATACAAATAAACCTGCCTTGCCTAGAAAAGGTTAAACCATACGCTTAGAATGAAACATGTTTGGTAATTGTCTAAAAGCAGATGTAGACAGTACTTACTATGCAGTAGGCCACCAGGGCTCCCTGCACAAAGCCGGCCAGGACGTCAGTGGGGTGGTGCTTATGGTCAGACACTCGGGACAGTCCCGTGTAGAAGGCCATCATCAGTAGGGTGAACTGGAGCAGAGGGCGGAGCAGACGAGCACCGCGCCACGAGAAGCGAGACTGGAGGTAGAACTGCACACACAGACCAAAGGCATGGGTCAGACCTGGCTCACATGTGAGAAAATACCTCCAGGAAATATGTACGAGGCATAATACGTGGTCCACAAGATGTTATTGATGAAAGGATCAAACGCCAAGACGTGACGTGCCCCATCCAGCCCACAGCTGTCTGGAAGCCCTCTTCAAAGTCATTAGTCTCAGCACCGCTTGTATTTTTGACTTTTTAACCTTGCACCTGCGTCGTGTGTGAGTATCATTTTTAACCCAAATGGCAGAACATGGGAACTCTCTCCACACGCACACACACACGCACATACGCACACACAATGTCCAACTCCCGAACACGACTGGCTTCAACTCTCCAGCTGTAAAAACATGACGACCACAGAGAAAGCTGCTCCAACACTAACTAATACACACTTAGACTCCTTTCAACTTCACTTTCATAAATAGTATATAGGACGGACAGATGAACCCCACGGATAATTTTCTGGGCCTTGATAAATCTGAGCATTTTGGTCACTCTCTGCCACTTCCAGTTGTGGCTGTGTTGTTGGCATAGACCACAGGAGCCAGCACTGCGATACCGAGACCAGAGGAGATCAAGAAGCCACAACAAGACCAAACGTTGATGTCCACGGATTTCAAGTTTGAAGATGTTTACAATCCAGTCGTAGTAATGCTTTTGAGGAACACGCCATGGATCACACTGGATGAATGAGAGATTACACCACTTTGTTAATGTAATTTTGTTTATTCATCAGTGGTTTACAATGCAGCAGTGAATTGGAAAATTTAGTTTAAAATCGGGGACAATGTCATTACTATGTATTTCATTCAATTCAATCATCTAATATAGTCTTATACTATACTTGCACACGGGCAGAGCGCAAACACTTAATTTATTTCATTCAATTACGCATAATAAATCCAAACCATGTGAAAGGTGAATGAATAGGGATAAAGAAACAAGTGGCTGCAGTTTTTATTATTCTCCAATGCAGTGAGATTAACGAACAATTTCTCCTCTTCAGCCCTTTAAGTCCATTCATTCATCCATTTGTTCTGCTAGTTAGGGGCATGGTATGGTATGATTATTGTTTTTACAGGGACAGGAGGATATAGTGTCTCAAAAAGTGATCTGCCAAACGGTTGAGGAAACAATCAAAGTGTTAATAGCCACTGGGTTTGCCACATACAGAGTTTAAAATGTACTTTTAATGAAGTTTAGATTTCAATTTTTAATTTTTGTTTGCACAGGTATCTTGTTTACAATTATCTTCTTACATTTTGCAGCAGTGAAGGCAAAATTAAAGGTCTATCTTAAAGGTCAGTCCAGGATTTCTCAGACCTCTAATGCACAGTGAGCCCTTACTTCCTGCCCTTTCTCACTGCTTTAGCCTCGGACTACCCTGCCCAAACCTCCAGACAACTCTCTCCGATTCTAACAATACCTTCAGACGACCACAGCTCCTCCTCTGAGACGCTGGAGGTATGTGGTGCCCTGAATTTATGCTTTTCCTCCATGACACTTTTATCATTGTTCAGGAGCAGAGGGAAGCAGGGGAAGACGCACACCCATCCTCTCCAGACACTCCCGGTTCGGCCTGTTTGGGCTTCACACTTCCTCAGGTAGCGGGGCAGGTTAAGTACCGCTATGAATAACATTTTAGAATTCAGCGTCCGACAGCGATAAGGGGAAACGCTTGTAAATTACATAAGCTAAAAGTCCCCGAAATTGAATGCAATAAAATGTATGACAATAGCTATTTCATTTGGCGCAATCAATTTTCAAACCACACAATATGACTCTGACAATGTTCAAGTCCAGGTTAAAGATGGTTCTGTTTGCCTGTGCATACAACTGAAGGATTTTATCTATATTTTAATGCACTATAGTGTGTGATTTTAATATTCTACTGTTTTTTTTTTATTTCCTCTGTGATTTGGTTTGTGCCTTGTGTGATGTGAACTGTGAAGTGCTTTGTGTTTGTGTTTGCATGAAAGGCGCTCTACAAATAGATTGATTGATTGATTGACAATATAGAACTATTTAATAAAAAATCCATGTGACTAAGCTCCTCTCATTCAATTCATATTTACCCACTTTTTTTTTTTTACTGTGACAATATTGTTATAAAACTATTATTTATATTTAAATAAACTGCCATTATAAAAAATAAGTCAAAAATATGAAATAATAAAATCGAATCCATAATCCTTCAATGTTCTCCAAATGTATAGATCCTTTCATTCTTATTATGTGTATGTTTATGTGTATAATTTTAATTTTCTCAATTTATTTTATTGGTTAAACACTACTGTTTTTTTCACCCAACTATTGGGCTGCCCTAATTTGAACTCTAACATGACCGGTCACCATCGTTATCTTAATGGAGGACAGTGACCCAGTCAAAACAAGCAGCAAGTCCTGATTCAGCAGCAGGACTGAAGCGTGTGATAAGAAGCAGCTTCAACCGTCTTTCCCTTTTCAAACGGCTTCACAAGGACGTTCAGAGCAACAAACCAAGGAACTCCGAGCGTGACTTTTTCTCTGTTTCATTTGTGCTTTGACGCGAAGAAAACAACAATAAAACCAAACAGCTCAAGCCTCTCAGGACATTCACAAAGCAACATCAACTCTTGTGGTTAGAAGAGGCATGTAGCACAGTCATCTTTCCTTCAAAGTGTTGTTGTTTAACAGAAAGGTTTGGTGTCAGCACTCCGTTCTGTTCACACAACACAGCGAGTGACTTGAATAGCAGTGGTTAAATTGCATGTATTTCTCTTGGTTTTTCTCAGTAACAAAACCAGAAATGTGCCCTGATTGAAGTTCTCCGGTATCAAAAGGCACGAAGTGTAGACCAAGCAGCTGATATGAAACTGCTGCGTGTGTCTGTGGTGGCTCTGCATATGTGAAGTTTCTACACCTACACAACCGTGAAATAACATGCAACAACCACAGAATAAAACCATCAGAAAAATTAAATTCTGAAAGTAGCAACCTGTCGAAGGAGCATTCGTCATCTAGGGCTCTAAAGATGGGGGGAATGATAAAGTAAAAATCTTTATTACTTATCTAAACACAAAGAATGTGCCTATTTGTCCTGCAAGAAATGTTTTTATTTTATTTTATGATATACTGTATGTGCAAAAGCCGTGATAAAATATCTTCATGAACAGAAGGTGTTCCCTTTTTTGTGCAGTTTGTGCATCTCAACAAGAAGGTCAAGGGTTTGGTTCCACCTCCAGACCTTTATGTGTGGAGTTTGCATGTTCTCCCCATGATTGTCTTGGTTTTCTCCAGGTGTTCTGGGCTCCCCTACCACTAAAAAAAGTACAGTAGGTCTGAATGTAAAGAGTGAGTGAATGGATGGTGATGGTCGGAAGCTTCTTTGCGCCTGTATCACTTCTGTCGTCACCGTGTGTGGAGGGAATGGAAAAATACTGTGAAATGCGCTAAACATTACTGACTTTTTGTGTAATTCATGCTGTTTTCTGTTTTTTGTGCATGTGAAGCACTTTGGGCAGCTGGTGTTGTTGAAAATGTGCTATAAAATTAAAGCTGACAATGACATGGACATGGACTTACTTACAAAATGTCATTCATGTTACATTCATATTTTTTGGGATTTCTTTGGAACTCATAGATAGGTTTGGAGAAGTCTGTAGCGGCCATTTTCAACATTGGGACTCTCTTATGTAATTACTGGCCAAGAACCCAGATTTATGATGTTTATTTGCTTTCATGTTGTGGTCGTTGTTATGGAAACAACGGATTGAACTCTGGATGAAAACAATAATTTAGATTTTTTTTAAATGTGAAAAAAGAGGATTATAGTAAAAACAAAGAATGCCACAGATTTTTCTTCCACTGGGAATGCCACCACTACTTGGTTATGTTTTGGTTTTATATTTCCAAAACATAACATTCATTCTCTCCTCGGTGTCCTGTGGCCGCAGCTGGAACACTGGCTCTTATGTCACTCTGTGGTTTGGACTCTGGATGAAATTTCCCATTCGTTTCATTCACCAAATCTGCTCTTTTGGCCTGACCAGGGCCGTGGGTCAGAGAGAGGCTGGGAATTACCCACTGCACAGCTGCCATTGTGGCACTGCAGCCAAACAAACCCAATCTGGACAGAAACATCTCCAATAATGGAAAATCCTTTCACTTTTTCATTCTTTCAAGTTGTAAATTTTAAGGACACAAGTTAGAAAAAACCATTACCCAAAGCCTACCACAGTTTGTTACTTGTAAATCATAACCACTCGTACTTTATTTGAAAATGTCAATTGATCAATGATGAATTGTCTAGTTCTGTGTCCTTTTGTCAAATTTTGTTTTAAGTCATTCAAAAAACTCAAATTTAGCCTAATGAAATCATGTTTGAGTTTTTGCCCATAGGTAATTCATTCGATTTTTAACAAGTAATAAATCCATTCAGAAACATACACTCAGCGCAAAACATAATGAGGCCTTTTGCGTTCTATGACGTGGAGGTTACACAGAAGAAGAAGACTCTGGACATCGGCCCTTTTGATAATGACATAACAAAGCTGAACTTAAGGCTGACGACTGGTGTTTGCTATTAGTCTGTCCGTTTGAATCAATGCAGTGTGCGGAGGGTCAGGCCCTGGGGGGAGTCGAGGGGGAGCCAGGGGGTGGCTTGTGGGGGTGGGACAGGAAGAGTGCACACAGCTGCGCACATCTTCCCTTAACTCCTTGGGTATGTTCCATTTGAGTTGTGTTCACTCCTGCTGAGGGTTTGGTGTTTTGAGAAGTGAATGGGAAACAGAGGAAGAATAAGCCTCTTGTAAACGAAGGAGTGATTCAGTTAGTTGTGTGTATTGTTTGACAGTCCCCAGATAAAGAGCGTCCTCCCTCCGCAGGATGTGTATGTCTTTGTCTTTTAACTGTTTTTGTATAAAAGTGGGCGAAAACATGAGCAGAGGCCAAGGCCACACTCACAACACTAGTCTGTTTTCTCTTATTCTTTGTGCAAGGGACTTTTTGAGCGCCTTTGAGTTTTGAAGGATTAGTGTGTGGATAATAAATGTATTTTATAGAATTCAGATCTATTTTAATTTGGATAAGTTTAAAATGTCAGATTATGCAGTAGTATCTCAGATAGCTTGCACACATTCTCGCAAAATTTACTTCATTTTATTATCATTTTATTAAAGCTGGGATTTATAACTTTACGGTATAATGTCAGACCACATCATGCTGTCTTCATCCTGTAGAAATCATGTTAAGTTTTGCATACATGTAAGAATGACCCCTGGGAGTCACTATTTGATGCTTTGAGCTGAAAGTGGATTGGCTGAGTGAGAGTGGTCCCCTTGTTTTCACTTTTGTGTTTGAAAAAGCTGAGCTAAAGATGAGACAGAGGCCACAAAATACATGCATGCAAAAACTAGTGATGGAAGCAAACTGTTTTAAGAGCGAGGAATTGTGGATTTGAATACATCGTTCTGTTGTTTGCGGTTTGAGAGTCCGGTAAACTGCATTCAATAATATTTGTAGACGACCTCAGTAGGTTTCAGAGAGAGATAAAAAGAAAAACCATAGGTCATTAGTACTTACAGCCAAGTAGAGCATGCTGTACATCGAAAAGGATGCGTGTCCTGAGAAGAAAGATTTCCTAAACAAAAACACATGAGAAAGTTCTATTAGTGTGTGATTAAATTTGATTAAATGACTAAAACTTGTCCTGAATTTCTCCTACGGGCATCCATAAAGCATCTATCTATATAATCTAAATCCACGGCGTGACACTAACCTGGCCTCTTGCACGTCGCTCTCCTTCCCGGTGCACGTGTACTGGGTGATGTATCCCAAAGAGCAGTCGATGGTGGAGAAGTCTGGTTTGCACACGTCTAAAAAGTGAGGTCTCATTCGCCCGACGGACACTTTGGCGATGTCTGTGAACGACTGGCTGACGGCGCAACCAAAAATGAACACGCCCATCTGCAAGACAATGCGTGGACTCCAGTTATCGTCAGAAGTTTAGGAAACGTCGCAGTTTTGTCCGTGTTCAAAGTGATGAAATATCCACTTACCTGTTTGTAAAGGGCTGCCACATAAGGATTACCAACAAAAGACTTGGTGCCTTCATGAAGCTGGTGGATCCTGTAACACTCTCCGATCACAATCTAGACGAAAGAGTTAAAACAATAAGAGAAATACACACTGATATACAATACATTTATACACCAATCAGGCACTACATATGACCACTAGATTTACATTTGTCCTGGCTAGCACTCCTATACAATTATACTTGTCATAATTACGTTTTACAGACACTGGTCTCTGCAGTGGTTCTTAACTGGGGGGTTGTAAGATCATTTTTAGTGGATCATGACCATTTATTGGTTTTTAACATAAAACCTTTGTTCATACTTGCATGATGAACTAATCTCAGTACCATTATTGACAAGGCTCTTGCGTTATGGACACACTTTCCACTGAAAATGACATGGGATAAGGTCAAAGTTGTCTCATTGGCTTCGGGGTTTCACTCAACTTTGTCTCTACTCTATATATAATTGGTTCATAATTTTAGCTTTGTAACATTATTCCATGCTTTTGTGAAATTGTGAAAATATACCAGTATTCCAAACTCAATTGTGTGTTCGTATTTGAGTCAGTAGATGTTTTAGGTTGGAGTGCTTTGTACCCCTATGTCAAAGAAGAATTAGGAGTACATAATTAGACCCATCCGGGGTATGGGTCTAATTTGACCCATTGCAGGTACATGATTCCCTCGGCATACCCTTTTGCCAATTATGGTTTGGACATCTCAAATATCACAAACGTACTTACACCTACAGTAAATTATCAGGAGATTGCACATCTGTGGTCATAGTGTCAGAGCCTAATTGATGTACATAACACAACAAAAGCACTATGTAGTCGTTCTTGGAAATGTGAACAAAACCCATGCAAGGTTTGAGTGCTCATCATGCAGCGATTTCTCAACGCAGACATAACACGTGAAGTCAAGATGATGGTTGACGGACACACACACACACACACACACACAAACCAAGACACAACATGGAGTGAGCATGGCCTGCCTTTCCCTCGGGCAGTCTGAATGGGTGAGGTGAGGGTGATGGCGGACTGATGGATGAAAAACAAAACACACAATATGACTTGAAAGCAACGTGGCTCTCAGTGGTGGTTATGGTCTGGGGTCATAACTTTGCCTTGTGTAGTATTAGAGCCAGCTGGTTTGAAGTAATGTGGGTCCCTCATGTACACCACAGTAGCCCTGGAGGTATATGGGCATGTCAATCATAACTGTGGTAGCTCTATATCTATCAGACTGCTGCTAACCACCGACACTTCCTTCCTCTCCCCACACAAGGGTCCAGTCTAAGGTTGGACCCCAAAAACATCCAGGGAATCCTGAAGCTGGACCGAAACTGAAGTGTTGAGATATTGTTCAGTACCATTATTGACATAGCTGGATTGGCTTGATAAGGAATCGTGCACATGGATTTTTCCGTGCATTAGAAGCAATTTTAGTAATGGATACTAATATGATTTTGCTATTAGTAAAATCTTTGCGCTGTATTAACTTGGGAAGGATTAGGAATTATATATAATTGTATTGAAATCCAATAACGTGAGTAGGCGGTTTCCCTTAAAACATCATAAAGTAAACGTATCAGAATAAACGTTCAATAATAAGTAATTCAATGTTACTTTGTGGCATTTTACTGCACTCTGCTTATTAAAAAAAATATAAGTGCAGTGTGTAATGATTCATGTTTTCATTAGGGTGATTTGTAGCATGATTTTTACATTGTTTTTCTTGTAGATGATTTGTGCTGAGCAAATAAGCTAAGACTCCTTGACCTCATTTTGTCTTTGAGGTGGTCAGCTGGAGGGCCCAACGCCAAAAGAAACAAACACTATGACATAAGTGTGCATGTATTACTCTCTGGTATCGTTTCAATCTGGGTTAGATTGGACCCAGAGGTTGACGATGCTAATGAGATATGCTTATTTATGTTTAAAGCTTGGATATCTTACTTTCTAACCACAATACAATGTAATGAAATCCATGGTTTGATCATTCGTGTTCACAAGCATGTGTTTTCCGGCCTCGGTCACAATTTTAGATCAACCTTTTCAGACAGAAACGTGGAAAAAAGCTACTCTCAGCCCAAAGTGTCAAATAGTGACTCGCAGGGCTCTTCTTAAAGTGTGTCTAATAAGATAGCGACAGCTTTTGTTCACAGCATTTTACTTTTAGACTTGTTTTCTGTTGAGACAAAAAGAAACAAAATATGAAGTTCCCCAGGTTTAACATTACATCTCTCCTCAAGATTCTGGGGGGATAAAAACATTAGATTTTGCAATGACTTGAGGTCTGCTTGACAGAAGCACGAGCGTGTGTCTGTACTGGGGAGCTGCTGGGAGTTCCCTCTCTGGAGATAAACACAGACCAAGCTGAGCGGAGCGCGTGGATAGGCGTGTATGGGGACATGTGTGTAGGTGTGCAGGTGTGTATGTGTGTATGCGCTAAAGTCAGGAGACGCTGTTAATGGAGCACAGCTGTGGCAGACACGCCAGCGCTGCCACACGTGAACACCAGAGGCCCCAGCAGAAAGACGGAGATGGCCATGGATGACCGCCTGCTGTTCTGTATTCAGGAGATGTGAGAAATATAATGCATACTGTGTTTTCTGCTCAACTTTTCATAATAATAATGTCCTTTGTCCCAACAGAAAACATCTCTCAAAGAAATATTGCTGTAAAGAAATCAGACCACTACATGCGGTTTGACTCTTGAAGCTGAGAGATGAGTGGCAGAGTCCTTGCTTTGTCAAGTTTATGTCTAGAATAATTTGAAATGTGAAAACTTGATAGAACCGTGATAGAACCAAACTGCTTTGAGTGAGGAACTGGTTAAATGGATTTTACTACATACTTTTTGTGGTTTATAGTTCAAATAGAAAGAATATATTACATAGTATTTATATAATCACATATTACTTGCACTTAATATAACTACACAAAAATGACAATAAGTAATGGACATGATTTATTCATTCAATACGTAATACTCAGTTTTCGGCAGGGTTAATCCATGTCTTATGCCACGTTGAGTCTCCTGCCTGTAAATATTTCTCCTTTGCTGGCAGCACTAATGGATGTCATTAGTACAAGTTTCCACTAGACAGGAGGACCCCCTAATCCGTTGGCACTCCACTAAAACCATTACTGCTCCGAAATAATGAGAATATAGTCAATAAGTCGGGCCTATAGCCTTGAGCAAGCAGCTATACAGTATGGACACGTAGGGCCATCGTACAGAGGTGAACCAGTGGCCCATAAAACAGTCTTTGGTCTCAGTGGCATGTGCGTGTCGCCACACACACTTCCTACTGTCACTTTGGGGGGCCCTTTTTAACAGCCACTGGTCTTGGAGAACTCATAAAACCCGGTTCAAATGATACAGACAACAAAAGTGAGACTGTGAAATGACACGGAGAGAGCCGTCTGAGAGACACCGCTGCATGACAAGACTCAAACATATGTGTGTGTGTGTGTGTTTGTGTGTGTGTTTGTGTGTGCGATAGTGATCAGGGCTGCAACAACGTTTGAATTGTTAGTCTGCAGAGATTACGCATTTGGTCCAGAGTGGATAATGTCATCTTTTCTTTTATATTGGTGTAATTAATCTGGATCCTCATTGCTGCTAAATGAGCATCTACTCTTTTACATTATGTTTTGTGTTTTTTTTTTTCAGACTTCGTTTCAAACACAGACCACTGTTGCGTGATATAACCATAGTGAGAGCGCTAAAGATTAAATTTAAAAATGATGTCTCTCAGTTCGTCTTCTATAGATCTGGGAGATGTCTATTGAACAGCCCTGAAGTGTTAGATTACACATTACAAGAATGTACAGTTGCACTTACAGAGAAGATGGCAATAAGAATGCCAACTGCACAGAGCACGGCATCGCTTATGGTGTCTCCCTTTTTTTGGGGGTACCGGATGGACTCGTCGGAACAGTAAAAGCCACGCCGGTACGGAGTTATGGTGCTAGTCTCAATGATGAGGAAAGGCAGGCTAGCTACAAGAAACACAGACAGAGCAGCGCCGGGGAGAAGAGAGGGAGAGAGGGAGGGAGGGGAAGAAAGCATAAGACCAGGTCAGTGACACGAGACATAAACAGACCACACCACAGGGCGCACAGGAGCACAGCGCACTGAAGAATCATGGGTACTGTGCATGTGTGGAGGTTCACAGACAGCTTCCAGAACTACAAACAAAAAGTTTTTCATAGTTGTTTTGTTATTATATGGAGCCTCCTGTTTAGTCATTTCAAAAGCAAAGATCTCAAATTGTGTTATTGAAAATAGTATGTTGATATAGAGAAGGTGTGAAGTGGACAGAGCTTCCCGGTTCCAGAAGTTAAATTCTTCATTCAAAATATCCATAGGGATTTTTTTTTCTTTTTTAATAGACATTATAAAAGATTTCAACGTTTTTATTGCTTGTTTTGGACTGGAAACCACCAAATAGCATAGTAACCACCAAACACAGACTTTTCCCTCAGATTGTCTTCTAACCATAGATATATTGATTTCTCCAAAAATCTTTAGAATTGATTATACATCTGGAACCTTGAAGCCTGAACCACTTACATACAGCTACATATTCATACATACAGTACAATTTTCAATAACACATTATGAGAGCATCTATGAAACATGGGAAAATCCAATTTAATCAATTCTTTAAATACTATCACTTTCATTCTGTGTGCGACTGGAAGCCCCCGTCCACGCCCCAGTCTCCATGACCCTTTCCGTCTGGCCCCTGGGTGGTTGCCCTGTTCCACTTACAGACACTAGGGGCAGCATTAGGCCCACAGCGGTGAGCACAGCAGAGGATATGGTGCTCCTCTTGTAGGGAAAGTAGAGGCTGGAGTCATTACAGTAGAATCCTCTCTGGTATGGGTTGACCAGACTATGATGGAAGACCAGGGAAGGCAGCATGGCTATATACAGTATAAATACATGGGTTAATGTGTGTCGCTTACTTACCTGATCATAGTATTGGAAGTATTTCATTTCAAATATATTGTTCAGTAAAGAAAAAAGTAGTTCACATGCTATGAGGGACGTACAGCAAGATAAATGTCACAAACAAACAGTGTATTGAATGGAGCGTGTGTTGTCGACTTTTTCACTGGTTCATTTGCAACAGATCCCCCCGTTTTGAATCTTTTAAATGTTTTGTAATTGGAAACACATTTGAAATAATTTGCTCAAGAAGGGTAACTTTATTTGTCAGTCACTAAGATATATTTTGCTTTCCATACGTCTCTGGATACATTTGATAAACTGGATACATTTGATAAACTGGATACATTTGATAAACTGGATACACTGGATAAAAAGAAAATGTAAGCTTTTCCGATTTTACTCTAATGGCACTTATCGGTTTTTACAAATTAAGTGTTAAGTTTAACATCTTTTGCTGCCACGTTATTATAATGCAGGTGTCGATTATTAATAAGTACCAAATTTGAGATTATATTTAGATTAGAATAGATTTTTGCCACAGACCTAAAGTGAAGACGCATCTATAATATGAATTCCAGATGCTGCAGTGGATTTGTTTTGGCAATAACACATGTAAACTATACCATGACAGTGTAGCTTTGTTGTCCTGATGTATGGGTTCACCTGTGTGCACTAAACACACATCCATTCACAGGTGTGTGCAAACTCATTCTTTACCTAAAATACAGTATTTACTCTGCAAATCCTTTCCTCCCGCTCGTGTTGACAGAGAAACACCAAACCATTCAGACATGAAGTTTGTCTTTTAGCATAAGTGGGATGCCCCCCTCAGCTCGGGCAAATACGCTCTACATCCACAGGCCAGGGGTCCATTATGCAGGACAAAGGCATACATACACACACACACACACACACACACACACACACTGTCAACATTTTGTGCTATCAGAGTGCCATTCCAACTGCTGGGGGTATAAAAAGATCAAAAAACCAACAATAATAAACAATGCCAAAATATTTAAAAAATATATTTAAAAAAAAAATCAATTTATAAAAGATAGGGTTGTCATAAGAATATAAAAAATTGATTGATGGTTGAAACTAGATTTCACCAAGTATCTATACTAAACAAATTTATAATAACAGGGCACATTTTAAACTATATCATAACAACTTACAAACCATCAGAAGTATATCTAAATACACACAATATATAAGTGTTTATTATTAAGATGATAGTTGATAGTCCAAAAAGAGCATTCATAAATAATCATTGAGTATATTTTCTAGTATACTATCACGACAACACAGAAGAAGAATGCATTCACGACGGACATCGTTCGTGTCTGTTACAGGAAAATTCATAAATATTGTTTTTCTTCTGAACACATTGAAAGCCTCCATTTATTGTGATGTCCCTACTTACGACTGTCTGAAGTTAAGCAAACTGGCCTCTTCAAAGCCGGCAGTAAAATCTACAAATCAAAGGAATACAAACGTGCTAAACTCTGACATACTGGGCCACCCTCTTGGGAATTTGACATGTGCAAAAGAGAAAGGCAAACAGAATCTCAGCCCACCCAACTATGGAACTTTTGGGGAGATGACAGCACTCTGGGTATACATGACGATGAATATAGTCTTTAAATAGAGGGGTTTTTAAAGACACGCAGGCGTCTCGTAGACACCACTGTATACATTCTCCATTAGACTACACATTAGCTGTTCCAACATGTGGCCGTGTGGTTAGCTCACTTCACAGAGCTTTCTGACATTTGGGTCAAAGGCAAGATCTGCTCGTGAGTGCTCCTAATTTAGTGGAGGAGCCATGACCGTCATCTCACCAGCGATGGGAACCAGAGATTGTGTTACGGAGCAGTCTTGCAAAACGCAGTATAATTCACGAGTGTAACCTCAAGTGCGAGCATTCCAAGCCAACCTCAAACTCACGATGTTATGCATGAGAGCTCAGACGAATGGCCCACTTGAAAAGGGGAAAGTGTTGTTTTAGCTGTCTGCAGCATCAGTCTGTGAACTTTGGAAGCAGAGAGGTGCTAACATGCCATGGTTAGCTTAGTTTGTCATTAACTATTCGTTGGAAGATATTATACTGAACTTGTGAGCCGTGGGTACAACTCCTGCTTTGTTGAACGAGGCCCTTGGACTAAGTTATGCTCGACATGATGGTGCCACCTGGCTGGAAGAAAGTCCATGGTCCAACTTCCACACGGAGATCTCCCTGTGTCTCTGTAGGTTTCCTCCAGGTGCTCCAGTTTCCCCTACCACTAAATTAATGTGCAATGTGTGAATGTAACGAGTGAATGGTTTGTGGTCTGTGAAAAACGGGTAATAACTTAATATGAATTTTTTTCAACGTATATACCATTTTTTTCCGTCTTTGCGTTGGCCTGAGGAGGATGTTGTTGAGGAAGTGGTTATACTGGTGGGGGCCGCACGTGTTGTATTTTAGAGTTCCACTGCCCCCTACTGGCCGGTCAGTCACCGTGTAGACTCTTTGCACTGCGATTTGCTTGGCTGCGTCTCTGTGTAAACGGGTCTTACTTACTGTACTTACCTTCAGGTCCATGTAAAAAGTATCGAGTGGTTGGCCCACCTGTACTAACACATCCTGCGCTATGCCGCTGTCTGAGAAACACCACATGGCTAGAAATCGCTCGGCTCATTCACATAACACAACTTAAGCCCCAAATCAGTGCATTTATTTTCTTTTCACAGTTTCACATTGCAGTGCTGTTCCTAACTCCACGTGACTTGAATTTGGACAACGTTTTGGGATCATGTTTTGTCTCGAGCCAGTCTCTGCCTCTCTTCTCCCGGCCGTGGCCTACTTGTGGAGTTGGGGGATTCACATGCAAATGAGGGGACGTGAAAAGAGGTCACGGGCCTGAGACATGGGAAACACTCATAAACAAACAAACGCTAACTACTGCTGAAGCTAGAGTGATGGGAAAGTGATGAGTTTACTCACACAACACCTGCTATTGTAGAGAGACTGAACTCACCTCCATTGAGACGAGTGGATAGAAGCTGTGCGCGGGATTTTAGGAACAAGTGCAACTTTCTATCTATTCTTGTCAGGATTCCTACTTTTTCTTCCTATTGTTTGATAATTGATGGATGCTCAATGTATCCTGGGGCTGGTATTTAGAGTCTGCACATTTTATTTGCAAAAGTGGATCTATTATAGCAACTTTTGAGCTGAAGGTGACGCTTATGACAAACTATTGAAAAACGATGCTGTTTATTTTCTTTTTAGATTACTGGGATTGTTTTGTGTCATACAGTTAAGATAAGAGACAAGATAAGGTAACACTTTATAGATCTCACAATGGAGAAATTAACATTCGTTGTTTCAATATACATGTACTTGTTTCTCAGATTTATCTTTTCCTCTTAATGATGACCATCTGATGAAGAACAAGAACTTTTTCAGAAACATTTCAGACAGGTATGTCCGGCTATAGACCAGAATCTTTTAGGTTAGCCATGCATGCGTTTCCAACCACAATGTCTGGTAAGGAAAGAATGAACATGAATATGTCTGCACTTCATTCTCAAGAAGGCCGAATGAAATATGTCCTTCTCTATAGAAGAATAAAGAGGGCTCGCTGACCCTGGCTCAGAGACAGAGACAAGAGGGGGAGTGGCACTGGACACATGAAGCTGTTGGCCAATGCTAGAGATGTGTGGAGGGACACTACATTAAAAACCAACTATTTCACAAGAACTGTCATCGGGTCAGTGAGCAGGGGGATGCTGTGGTTCTCAAACTCTCAGGGATGGATAAAGGCCAGTAGTTTTATGTTGATTGTCTATTCCTTCACTAAAGGCTCCAATCATCAGTAATTGTAACTAGTTTGTTATGTTCATGGTCATAATTGGTTACATGGTGGTTCAAAGAAAAACTATTATAACAACAAATGTGGAATCCCTTGCATTTCAAAGTAAAAAACACGTTCCATAAATAGGCTTTCAAACCCACAGTAGTGACAGTTTGGATTTAGCTCTAAATGTGTACAGATTATGCATGTTGTATGTTACAGAAAGGTCTAATGACTGTTCCCTGTGTGCACTTTGTGTTTACCAAACGCTGCAGCCTCATGCGCAGTATACAAGGCCACAGCACTTTGTGTGAGGGGGATTATCCAGCCAGGCCTGTTTGATTGGCTTTGGGGTTAAATTTGGTATGGCATGAGAACGTTTAGATTAACAAGCCTAACTCCTCTAAGTCTGATTTGGATTTTTTTATACAGTGGAAGACATTCTTTGTAAATCCAGGCATCTCTCAGTAAATCCATGTTAAAGAATCAACGCTCAAAATGGAACTCATCTAAATCCTTCAAACCACAGCAGCTTTTTCTTTGTTCACGTTATAGTTGCATATTTTTTGTGTGGATAAAATGAAATGAATTATGAGTAAACTTACTCTTTCAATATATGCTCTGTGTGTTTCTTTACATATGAATAGTTCTTACACATTGTTTTAGATCATCCCAAGTTACAGAGCAGTAGGAATGAGGAGCACACAAGACAAGATAGATGATTATTAAGTATAACAAGACTCTATACTTCTATACTTACTAAAACAATAAACTATACTACTAGATAAAAAAAATAAAAAATCTATAGTCTAATAATAAAGTATGTATAGATGTATGTATGTATGCATATAAAAACAAAAATGAGGTATAAACCTGTATACTCTAGTGTAAAGAAAAATACTTGTATGTATACATTTATGGATACATTTTATTGATGTTACCCACTTAACATTTCCTTAACAAACAATCACGTTAACTCCCACGAGACCACATTGTATCCTCCCTCTAATACCAATTGTACCTTCCAAAACAGGAAACAATGGCTATTCTTATTGCAGCTCAAAAGGTTAATTCTCTTTGCTCCACCTGTACTTTCCCTGGAGACGATGACACCGGATCTTTGCCAATCT